ACAACACGGATATCAATATTTTGAGTTGTACTCAAGAAACTTTGGATAGTTCAAGTACAAAACAAGATCTGTCAACGAGTGTCTGACTAAAAGGTCAGAACCAGCTCTGCTCAGAGAGACAGAAGAGGAGGAAATATTAAAGATGAAGAGAAACAGACGGAGGGAAAAGTGGAAGAGAACGAGAGAACAACTCCAGGCTGATCTTCAGAGCCTGACGCCAAGCGAGAGCCCGCATCTACAAGAGCGAACCCTCAAGCGGAGCACTGGGAGCAGCAAGGAGCCTGGAGGAGGAACCGGGAGAGGGAGGGGAGGCCGGAGCAGCACAATGCCTCAGTGTAGCCCCTCAGCGAAGCCTCGAAACAAGGCACAATGGCTGCACTGTCAGCAGGCCTTCTCCTGCACTTTCATAGGTCTCCCTGACACCAGGCCTCTCCCCTTTTTCAATAACCAGCACAACAACCTTTTCAGGGGCCGGAGCAACGGTCTGCTCCTCGACCGCCGGCCTGAAAGAGACCATTCTGCGCTCAACGGTCGCTGTTTGAGATCGTTTTTTGTCTTTCGTCTGATTTTTTTCATTCCAGCGCTACGACTGACATGCTATGAGAGAATGGGAGATTATCACCATGTTGTTACTCGCTAGGCCGTGGGGCATTTTCTTGTTCCTAATGGCTTGTGGGTAGAGCTACTGAAAACTGAAAAACCGCAGGGGTTGAAAACTGTTGTGCATTCAGCGCGACAAAGTGCAGAGTTCAGCGATTTCTGGAGGAATGGATGGAGCAAGTTTCCATTCAGGAAAAGAAAGAAAGTGTGGGATGAATGATTCACAACAGCCATGTCCATCAATGATTCATTGACGAGACAGGAATGGATTTTAAAAATTCAAACCAGTCGAACACTTCAGGAAAGAGCGTCCATTCTTAAAAAAAAAAAAAAACAGCAGACAGGGCTTGTCCCAGTGAAGCCCCTCTTCAAAGAGATCACAGCCAAAACATGAAACTGGAGATGGTCTTTCATTCATGGAGCATGTCGGCTTTCCAAGGAAGAGATTTGCCATTCTGGCAGCGGCCATTAGCCAACTGGAGCGGCTCAAATCCAGCAGCCCCTCAAGCTCTGTTGTCCACTGTTGTTATCGGTTTTGTGTAATCACGGCTGCTGCTTGCAAACTTCTGTCTTTGATAAATACCGGGGGGTCAAATAACGTGACACATTTTTAGTTTTGATTTCTGTCAAACTATCTGTTTACTTGACTTAAGGACAACTAAAATAGCTATCTATGTTATTGATTAATTGGTGGTTTAATCTGTAGAATGTCAAAATGGTGAATAATAAACATTCCCACAGTGTCAGGTGACATCTACAAATGACATGATATTCTATTCAGGAGATATAAAGCTTCAAACACTGGGAATCCTCACACAGCTGCCATCGTTGTGCAAGTTCACACATGAAGTAGTTCACTATTTTGAATTTTGGACTAAGCTCACAGTTGACATTGATTTCTTCTGTTTTTTTTTTTTTTTTCAAATGAGTTGTGTTTGACTTGGATGGAGGAACCGTTGGCTCAAGGTCCTACCCTTTGTTAATGATTTCTTGTGATCATCAGTCACTTAATGAGTCGACTTTTGAACCGTTTTCCTCTCTCTTCAGAGGTGCGCCGATGTATTAGCCCCACTGGAGAAGGAAAGTGCACATTCAGTAGTTGAATGGACTCTTAGCTCGTTCAGGCACAGCACTACATAGCTGGAACAGTTAATGTTGACTAATCAGATTCATCTACTAATTCTGTTAGCACTAGTTCATATCCAGTCAAACATTTTTGGTGAAGCTTCGTTTTACAAGTCTGTGATGGCAGAATAAGTTTTTATAGTGCCCCAGTTCTTTAAGTTATATTCCTAAAATAACTATGGAATTTGGCACAAATTATTGGTAAACAGTTTAATTGGTACTTTGGTGGTCTTAATAAACCTGCAGTTAAAATATAATATAAAATAACGTACATTTTTGGGCTCTCAGAAACAGGTTGTGAACTCAATATTGACCCATCCTCGCCTTTTAAGTTGATATTGTTAGGTAACAGTTACGAAGCAACCTTATCATTCATCTCTCTTAGCTCTGTTTTTGGTCTCCCCCAACTCGTGAGGGAAATATCCGTCTCTTTAGCTGCTAAATGCTCCACCAGTTCACCAGTTACTCTCTCACTGTGTTGTTATCTGGTGCTGGGCAGTTTGTGTACAGTGAGTTTTTACAGATTTTCCTCTGAAAACAGCTGAAAACGACACTATGAGAGCAGTGAAAGTGAACTAAAACGGTAACTTTGTGGGCCAGACAGCCTCTCAATGAGCTGAAACTCACTATGAAGTTAATTTTGTCACTCGAGCTCTCAGTGTCCTTGAGCGTTGTATGGAGGTTGAGCAGGAGGATGCAGATTAAAGCCTCATCAGGCAGACAGACGCTCTACTGAAGTGTCCTCCAGCAAGACACTGTCATTGCCAGCCTCACTGTGCTGAAGCTCACCTCTGACCTCTCTGTGGAGGGGTTTTGAACACAAAGGCAATTTCCCCACAATGATCAATAAAGCATCACATTACCATCCTCTAAATGGGCACCGATGTAATGTGTCATAATTTGTGTCATCAATCATCCTGTCAGTGTGTGAGTGTGAGGTTTTCATCCCGAGAGACGGAGCTTCTCTGTCGATTATGGTGCAAACCGAGGTTTTCAGGGTTAGTTTGTATTTCTGTTTCTGCTTTTGTCCTGTAGTTTCAGGGGGAGTTTTTTCTGTTTTTCTTTTTTATTAAAATTTTTTAAATGGTGTCTTTCAGTTTTTCGGGACTTTTCATGTTTCTTCTGTAATGGTTTTTGTATGCTTTTTCTGTCTGTGTTTTTATTTTTCTCTGTTTTAATTTCTGTTTCTGTTTTTCAGTTGTCTGAAATAACAAAAACTTCCAATGAAAAGTTGGCTGGTTGTTCATTAAATAATGAAAAGCATACCAATGGCGGATCAAGGCATTTGTGGCTCAGCGTCTTGCTCAAGCACACGTGGACAGGAGGAGCTGGAGATCTAACCAACAACCCCTGGGATTAATGGACACGCTGTACTCCAAATAAAGCAGAAATTCACCACCAGCACAATTAATTTGACAGCAGCTTAGACAGAGAAAGTGCTTGAGGGGTTTCCATTAAAGTGAATTTCTGTTTCTGTGCTTCATATTTGTTTCCATGACCTGTTTTTTTGTACACTGGCCTGAATTCTTAGAGTCTGTAATGTGTTTGTTCTCTTGTTTTTATCTGTGTTTACATCCCCTGTCACTCCATGGAGAGTTGAGCGACAGACCCACTTAGCCAAAGAGCGTTTTTTAAATACATTTGATTTGACTTGAGGAGAAACTGGCGCTGAAAAGGCTCCCAACTGCCATAAAGAGAAATAAACAATGAATAAGCAGACTTATCGAACCCCACAGTGGGTCTGAGACCAAATACAGTGAATTATCGTAAAGCCCAGAACGGGGTTTACTAAGGCCTAGCAAACGGCAACCAGATGACAAACCACAGAACAACGTAGGGGAGGTGGCGCGCTGGGGGGGGGTTCCCTTAATCACTAAACAGCTGCCTCTATAAAGCTTAAAGATGGTACCTAAAACCAACATTAACTGAAAGGGGTTTAAAAACAGAGCCATAGGAAACCAATTTCCACCAACACCAAACAAACTGAGGAAAACCTCTCAGCTTTTCTCCGCTCTGCAGAAAACCCATTAAGTTCGTCTGAAAGGCTGCGAGCACGCCCCCAGTCTTGTGAATGCATCGTCTGTGTGAAGAGACTGGGGGATCGGGGGGCGGGGGGCAACCAGCCAGAGACAAATCCTGGCAGAGAAGGTGCATCTTGGGGAGGGAAAAAAAGGCAAAAATCCCACAAGAGTTGAGAAAAAATCTCCCCACAAAACTGAGCATCTGTCCTCCTGTCGCAGGTGATTATTCTGGGCGACAGGAGAAGTGCCGCCTCATCATTATGTAGTGAAGCCACCGTCACGAGCCAGAAAAACAGAAAAAAAACCGGGTGGATTTGACCCCAGTGGCAGAGGAGGAGCGGCTGG